TACATACATACATACATACATACATACATACATACATACATACATACATACATACATACATACATACATACATTACATACATACATACATACATACATACATACATACATACATACATACATACATACATACATTACATACATACATACATACATACATACATACATACATTACATTACATTACATTACATTACATTACATTACATTACATTACATTACATACATACATTACATACATACATACATACATACATACATACATACATACATACATACATACATACATACATACATACATACATACATACATACATACATACATACATACATACATACATACATACATACATACATACATACATACATACATACATACATACATACATACATACATACATACATACATACATACATGCATACATTACATACATACATACATACATACATACATACATACATACATACATACATACATACATACATACATACATACATACATACATACATACATACATACATACATACATACATACATACATACATACATACATACATACATACATACATACATACATACATACACATTACATACATACATACATACATACATTACATACATACATACATACATACATACATACATACATACATACATACATACATACATACATACATACATACATACATACATTACATACATACATACATACATACATACATACATACATGTACATACATACATACATACATACATACATACATACATACATACATACATACATACATACATACATACATACATACATACATACATACATACATACATTACATACATACATACATACATTACATACATACATACATACATACATACATACATACATACATACATTACATACATACATACATACATACATTACATACATACATACATACATACATACATACATACATACATACATTACATACATACATACATACATACATACATACATACATACATACATACATACATACATACATACATACATACATACATACATACATACATACATACATACATACATACATACATACATACATACATACATACATACATACATACATACATACATACATACATACATACAGACATACATACATACATACATACATACATACATACATACATACATACATACATACATACATACATACATACATACATACATACATACATACATACATACATACATACATACATACATACATACATACATACATACATACATACATACATACATACATACATTACATACATTACATACATACATACATACATACATACATACATACATACATACATACATACATACATACATACATATACATACATACATACATACATACATACATACATACATACATACATACATACATACATACATACATACATACATTACATTACATTACATTACATTACATTACATTACATACATACATACATACATACATACATACATACATACATACATACATACATACATACATACATACATACATACATACATACATACATACATACATTACATACATACATACATACATACATACATACATACATACATACATACATACATACATACATACATACATACATACATACATACATACATACATACATACATACATACATACATACATACATACATACATACATTACATTACATTACATTACATTACATTACATTACATTACATTACATTACATTACATTACATTACATTACATTACATTACATTACATTACATTACATTACATTACATTACATTACATTACATTACATTACATTACATTTACATTACATTACATTACATTTACATTACATTACATTACATTACATTACATTACATTACATTACATTTACATTACATTACATTACATTACATTACATTACATTACATTACATTACATTACATTTACATTACATTACATTACATTACATTACATTACATTACATTACATTACATTACATTACATTACATTACATTACATTACACATTACATTACATTACATTACATTACATTACATTACATTACATTACATTACATTACATTACATTACATTACATTACATTACATTACATTACATTACATTACATTATTGCATTACATTACATTACATTACATTACATTACATTACATTACATTACATTACATTACATTACATTACATTACATACATACATACATACATACATACATACATACATACATACATACATTACATTACATACATACATACATACATACATACATACATACATACATACATACACATTACATTACATTACATTACATTACATTACATTACATTACATTACATTACATTACATTACATTACATTACATTACATACATACATACATACATACATGTGTGTGTATATGATATAATACATACAGATAGATATATACATAGACACACACTGTATGTATGTATGTATATATATATATGTGTACTTATATAATATATATATATATATATATATATTTATATATTTGGATGTGCGCGTGTCTTCCCCCGTTTCCCCATGCGGGCGAAGGGGGGGGGGCTGGGTCCTTGAACTTCTGGTGGTCCCCGAGGGGTGTGAACTTCTCCCCCAAGGAGCTCCTCGATCAACGATCGACGGGACGGCGAGCGGGGGGTTGGGGGGGGGCGATCGAAGACGCCCGTCCCCGTCGGTTTGCTGGTGCGAGAGAGGCAGGGAATGAGGGAATGGAATGACCCCAAGAAAAACCATCCAACTGGTGGTGTCCTTTTTTTGGGGACCCCAGGGAATGAATGAGGGAATCTATAAACCATCCAGGATCTAGGGATTCCCTTAAAGGAAACCATAGGGATGGTTTATTGGGGTCGTTCTCTCATTCCCTTGAATTATTCAGCAGGGAATGAGGGAATGAGAAATGGAATGACCCCGATTCATGGCTTCAGGTTAGTTGCTGGGTGGTTTAGATCTACGACTTGCGATCGGTGCAAGAGATCCGAGTTGAACCCTCCAACTGCTGTCCGATTTGACCCCTCGGTTTCCCAAAGCCCGGGGCTGCCTCTTGAGCTCCAGGTGCTCGCTGCTCTTCTTCTGTCTTTTTCGAAGACCGTCATTGGCTATCCCCTGACCCATTTAATTGACCGCCTGTATCAACAGCATCTTGAATGCTTGGTGTGACTTTGTTTGGGGGTTGCCCGTTCAGAGTGGTTTTAAAGGGAAACGAAAGGAAACTCACATGATTTGTGGGCCCCCATTTCAAGGCACCCCCAGGCATGAATTGATTCTTTGGACCCTGTGGTGGACATCATTCACATGCAGATTTGAACAACCACCAATCATTTTGGAGACCATGCCCCATTGAAATGCAAAGCCAATGAGGTTCGTCCCTTTGAGAGATGCGATTCTAAATGGTGAAGCTTAGATCGAGGAATTTGCGGTTTCAATCTTTTGAAGCTGGTCGCTTTCGACCTCTCCAAAAAATATGAATCGAAAGTCGTTCACTTGTTGCGGGTTCAACAAAAAATCCTAGATTTCAACCGAAGAGTTAAAGTCTAAAGATCCAAGCCAATAGCAATCACGCGAAGTACCAAGCCGACCGGAAAACAATTTTTGGGTCTCCCAATTCTCTTGCTCAGGATTGAACCCAATCTTGAAACGGGCAGGTCTGAAAAATGACCCCAGCCACGTTTCTCATGGTGGAATCACCTTTCTCTCTCCCTAACCCGCCGAAACACGGAGGGTCGCGTTTGTCCACATGTATTTTGCTCCGAGACATGAAAGCACAAGCTGTGAGGTGTTAAAGATCTCAATGACTCCATGCGAATTGGACACTTTTGGACGCCAGCTTTCAGCATTCCTCATTGAAGAAATGGCGTCAGGTAAAACAGTCGCACAGAGCTTTGGTTCTGGTGCGAGCAGTTTTGACCACCTGCGGTTTGCTTATTCCAAGGATGGTCGGAATGAGGGCAGAGTGAGGGCAATGAACATAAAACCATCAGGGGGTCAATTCCTACGGGTTGGGACCAAACTAGGCAGCCTTTCTCGCTCTTTCGACATGAGAAGTGGCTCTCCGCCGATTCACGGGCACGGAACTGATCCAGACGGCCGGTTCGAAGGCTCACGGCCAGAGAGACAAAAAGAGTCATCTACGGTGTGAGTTTCGACAAGGACCTTGGTTGAGGTGTGTTTCTTGTTTACTAGCCCTGCTTTGTACTAGCCCCGGCTCAGCACAAACACAAGGGCCTCCCCATGCGGCTCTGAAGGGGTTGACTGGGAACCCTGGCTTCGCTCTAGGTTGGGGGCAACACGGGCAGTTGGGGGTGGGCCGCATCCCCAGCATCCCCAGCACCACCAGCATCGCCAGCCTTGCTCGGGCGGATCTTGGGTTTGCTGATATCCAGGATGCTGTTGGGAGGGTTTAAGGTTCTTTGACTCGGTTTGGGGCAACGCCCCACAACCAATCCCAAAGCAGCCCAAAATTGAATAACCACATTCTCAAAGCTACTGCACCTCGCGCAAATCAGCCCCAAGCCAACCCAACCCAACCTTAAACCCTCCCAATTGGCGGGCCGCATCCCCAGCATCCCCAGCATCACCGGCCTCGCTCGGCCTAGGGCTTGGGGCTGCCAATTGGCTTTGATTTGGTTGCAGTTCAGAGTTGCTCCTTCGGGTGAGTGTTGGGTTGCTGAGGCTTATATCATGAGGGCGGGTCTTGGGAGGGTTTAAGGTTCTTTGAGTCGGTTTGGGGCAACGCCCCACAACCAATCCCAAAGTAGTTCAAAAATTGCATAACCACATTCTCAAAGCCCGCACACCTCGCGCAAATCAGCCCCAAGCCTTTCTCCTAATTGGCAGGCTGCATCCCCAGCATCCCCGGCATCACCGGCCTCGCTCGGCCCAGGGCTTAGAGCTGCCAATTGGCTTTGATTTGGTTGCAGTTCAGAGTTTTGCTGAGGCTTATATCATGAGGGCGGGGGGTTCAGTATTTAGGCTTTGTAAAAGGCTGATATGCAGGATGCTGTTGGGAGGGTTTAAGGTTCTTTGCGTCGGTTTGGGGCAACGCCCCACAACCAATCCCAAAGCAGCCCAAAACTTGCATAACCACATGCTCAAAGCCAAAAACCGGCCTGCGCACCTCGCGCAAATCAGCCCCAAGCCAACCCAAACCGACCCAAAGTCAACCCTAAACCCTCCCAATTGGCGGGCCGCATCCCCAGCATCACCGGCCTTGCTCGGCCTAGGGCTGCCGGTTGGCTTTGACTTGGTTGCAGTTCAGAGTTGCTCCTGGTTTCGGGCGGGGGGTTCATTTAGGCTTTGTAAAAGGCTGATATCCAGGATGCTGTTGGGAGGGTTTAAGGTTCTTTGCGTCGGTTTGGGGCAACGCCCCACAACAGCCCAAAATTGCATAACCACATTCTCAAAGCCAAAAACCGGCCCGCGCACCTCGCGCAAATCAGCCCTAAGCCAACCCAAACCGACCCAAAGTCAACCCTAAACCCTCCCAATTGGCGGGCCGCATCCCCAGCATCACCGGCCTTGCTCGGCCTAGGGCTGCCGGTTGGCTTTGACTTGGTTGCAGTTCAGAGTTGCTCCTGGGGCTTGCTGAGGCTTATATCATGAGGGCGGGGGGTTCATTTAGGCTTTGTAAAAGGCTGATATGCAGGATGCTGTTGTGAGGGTTTAAGGTTCTTTGCGTCGGTTTGGGGCAACGCCCCACAACCAATCCCAAAGCAGCCCAAAAATTGCATAACCACATTCTCAAAGCCAAAAACCGGCCCGCGCACCTCGCGCAAATCAGCCCCAAGCCAACCCAAACCGACCCAAAGTCACCCTTAAACCCTCCCAATTGGCGGGCCGCATCCCCAGCATCACCGGCCTTGCTCGGCCTAGGGGCTTGCTGAGGCTTATATCATGAGGGGGTTCATTTAGGCTTTGTAAAAGGCTGATATCCAGGATGCTGTTGGGAGGGTTTAAGGTTCTTTGCGTCGGTTTGGGGCAACGCCCCACAACCAATCCCAAAGCAGCCCAAAAAATGCACAACCACATTCTCAAAGCCAAAAACCGGCCTGCGCACCTCGCGCAAATCAGCCCCAAGCCAACCCAAACCGACTCAAAGTCAACCTTAAACCCTCCCAATAGGCGGGCCGCATCCCCAGCATCCCCGGCCTCGCTCGGCCTAGGGCTGCCGGTTGGCTTTGATTTGGTTGGTTTCGGGTGAGTGCTGAGGCTTGCTGAGGCTTGTATCATGAGGGCGGGTCTTGGGGTTTGTTTGGGGTTCATTTAGGCTTTGTAAAGGGCTGATATCCAGGATGCCCCAAGCAACCAACCATCCAACCAACTAACCAGCTATGCCCCGAGCCGGGGCTAGAAAAACACAAAGTCGGTTCCCAAGGACCTTTGGACGTCAAAAAAATGGTGCCCCAATGAAGTGCATCCTTGTGGTCTTTAAAAAAGCTGGAGCATCTGGCCTTACATGGCTTCCACAAAAAACAAAGAAGAGGTTCCAACAAAAGGTGCCCCTTCGGACGCACACATGAGTCACAATCCATACCTGCTAAATGTTCTACCCGCGTCCATGCAAGGAAACAAATGCAACAAGGCGGATATCCGCAGCATTTGCATGGATGCTGCTTTCAATTCACCTTCATCTCCATCTCAAGGCAACAAAAAAACATAGGAAAAAAGGGGCGGATATCCCGTAGTTATGGTTGGGACCGGGACCCCAAGTTCACGGGTCCATCTCCCCGGGTTTCGCTTTGGACGCGTCGATCTGCTTGCGACCATCGGAAGTCCCGCCTCTTGGAATTCAGTGCCTCGTTCCGCTGACGCAGCGCCTTGGGATGGATGAGGAATCCAGAGAAATCGTCCAAAGCGACACGTGGGGCTCCCCGTTTTTTGTGGTTTTGAAAAGGGAAACCCAAGGAAAGACATGTTTTTTTGTTGAGGGGCACGCCGTGGTTGATGGTGGTTTCAAAAGAAACCAAAGGAAAGCCACAATACTTGTGCTTTGAGGGATTTCCCGGTTTTGGTGTTGTTTTTTCAAGGGAAACCAAAGGGAAACCACACGATTTGTATGGATCCCCTAAAAAAACGACACGCCCATGTCTGCTGGGCACCTCATCCAAGGTTGATTTGGGTGTGGTTTGAGGGCACCTTGTTCAGCCTGGTCAAAAGGGACTCCCAAAGGGAACATCAAAATTCACCATCCGTTTGGTCTAGTTTGACACAGACCCATTTCTTGACCATCCCTTCGATTAACCAATCGGACTCCCAACTTCAGGACAGTCTGGCCATGAATTTGAGAATGGCCGTGAATTTCCCATAGAAAACCCCCCGTGAAAGGTGGGTGCTGGACACAACTCTCTACCTAAATCATGTCCACTAAGGAAGTCCCTGAAAGTAAAGTTCCTACCCGAAGCGATGGTAAGGGTCCGGATGCCGAACCTTGTCACTCTGGGGATCACCGGAACCTCTCAGAACATCTCGCCTAAGACCTCTTCCTACCTGGCGAAAGGTGCTCCGGGAATGACCCTTCCGGGTGTTCGCAATGACCGTTCCGGGATCCCCATCCCCTTGAAGGGAACCACCAGCTGCATGGTTCAAATCGGGTCCATGTCTTTCCCTGCATCTCTTGCGATCGCAAGTCGTAGATCTAAACCGGGGAGCCACCAACCCGGAAGCCATGAATCGGGGTCGTTCGATTTCTCATTTCCTGCCTATCGAACCAGGGTCCCCTTAAAGGACACCACCAGTTAAATGGTTTAAATTGGGGTCACCCCCACCGCAAGTCGTAGAAGCCATGAACCATACACCCACCAACCACCCCACCACCCCGCCACCCCCCAAAACAAGGTCCGAAGCGAAGCCATGAATTGGGGTCATTCCATTCCCTCATTCCCTGCTGAATACTTCAGGGGAATGAGGGAACAGCCCCAATAAACCATCCCTCTGGTTTCCTTTAAGGGAATCCCCTTAATGGAAGCCATGAATCGGAACCCCTGGAATGAACCTGTCTCCATCTCTGGGCGGCCCGGAGAGGGCCCAAGTGGGATGCGTGCGCTTTTTGGGTCTGGCTGACTCACCCAAAAAAAACACGAAAAGTTAAAGCAGGGCCCAAAATTGGAGGGGGAGGGGGGGTGATGGGGGGAGGGGGGGTGGTTGTTAAAGGGGGGGGGGGGTGTTAAGGGGGGGGGGTGATCCGTTCAATAGGTTGATGGCTTCACATGTCTTCCAAAAAATGCCATCCGAAGGCGTGACGCACCTTGTTCTCAAGCCATCCCATCCTGCCGCAGCTTTTCGGCCAAGGCTCCGTCTCGAACTCCCACTCCCGCTCCTCCAGCTCTTCATCCGTCAAAGTGGAGATGCTCGTGTACCGCGACCTCCACTCAACGCCACAGGAGAAAAAAGAGAGAGCTGCCGTGTAACCCTAGGTCAAACTGTGAACCAGCAGGGGGGAAGAACTTCTGCCAGTCGACCTCGGGGTGGAAAATCGAGAAGAAAAAAAAGGAAACCGCCGACCTCTTCGGCATGGCGCGCGGCGCTTCACGTGTCCAGTGGGGGATGGTTCAGGGAGCCATCGGGGTCCGACAAGGGAAGAGCCACTCTTTGATATTCACAGAAGGTCAAACGTCTGAGTTCTGATCGTCGTAGTAAATAGAGGTTGTCTCCTTAGATACTGTTGCCACCTTTCAATCGATCATCAAACGCACCACGTCAAGCATGTGGCTTTTCAGCCGGTATGCGATCTTGAGATCCTGCCGAAAAATCCGGGCGGAGCAGGATGCATGCAACCTGTTGAACATGGCACAACACACTCTCAACAGACGTTGCACAGCCCAGAAAGAAAAAAAAACACCACATTGCGACGCTACATGCAACAATGCAGCTGGGGCAAGGTAGATGGTGCAAGGTAGATGGTGCAAGTGTGCCTTTGGTGTGCATTTATGACGGTGATAGACCAAATCCAAACGCTGGAACACCAATGCCTCGTTCACCCTGGAATACGATTCTCTGCCGTAACAAGAATGCGCATGCCATTCTTTTCGCCATGCGCGGGTGTTTGTGAGGCTTGATCAAAGCGGCTTTTTGCCGTTCGGCAGGCCGCAAAGCAAGTAAACCGCACGCGGCTCCCGATCTTTTTGGCCTCAAAGAAAGCGGTTTTTAGGACCCGGGGTTCCCAAAAAGTCTGCATTGGAGGGGTCAACGTGGTAACAAATGGACGGATTCGTGGCAGTCCCTTCCTCGCGCGCAAAGCCGCGAAGCTCGCGCGCCCGTGATCGGTCGACTTGCCACTTGCCGTTTTTGCGTCAAGCACCGAGGTGCGTCCGATGGCTCCGGCGCAAAACAGGGATCCGGATGCATTATGAACATTGCCTTGTAAATGGTGGTGTCCCTGTATTTTGGTGTCTTTTAAGGAGCCCTGCAAAATGAAGGCCGCATGCTTCTCATAGCCAGGGATTTGGAGGACCAACATGATCACCAGGCACATCTTTTTCTGAGGCAACCCTTTTGAGGCTGTTTTTTTTCAATCAAAGGGACCCATTGTGGCAATTTTGAGACGAATCCTGATATTTGCCACGACTGGGGGGTTTCTCAAAAAATGATGGATGCCGTTTGGTTGGCAGTTGAACAAAAATCGAAAGGATACGAACTGTTCTAGGGGACCGTGATTTTGAGAAACCCCAATGAAGGAAAACTAAAATTATTGGGGGCCCCCTAAAAAAAAGACGAGCCAACCTTAAATCAAATGTGTGCTTGGTGGATCGGTGGTAATAATGCCTGTCTTGAGAAACTCCCGACGACGCCTCTTGAGCCGAAACTCACGGAGCTCCTTCCTCAAACTTTGAAGGGCAAAAGGCTAGAGGGTTGCCCCAAAGCGCCAGCAATGGAAGGCGCCTAAGTAAAGCAAACAAACACAAAAACAAGCGAGCGAGCGAGCGAGCGAGCGAGCGAGCGAGCGAGCAAGCAAGCAAGCAAGCAAGCAAGCAAGCAAGCAAGCAAGCAAGCAAGCAAGCAAGCAAGCAAGCAAGCAAGCAAGCAAGCAAGCAAGCAAGCAAGCAAGCAAGCAAGCAAGCACAAAAACATGGAAACAAATAATCTAAACCAGGCTTCGTTCTGTTCTATTTCAAGGAGCAACCCTGGTTCGACGGGAAAATACTGGCTTGCACCAGCCAGGTGCCGAAGCAATATTGCTGCAACTCGCTGGACTAGGCATGCGCTAGACCATCAACTCAGGCAAAAGTTGATTCCAAAACTTGCGGTGCGGGTAAATAACGTTGACCCCATATGAATCAACCCCAGCTTACTAATAGGGGGGGGTGCTTCTCCTGGAGAGACCCCCACCCCCCTACTAGTAAGCAGGGTTGATGAATAGGGGGGTTCCATTCAAGGGGCCCAATGCGGGGAACTGCGCAACATCTCCCAACGGCGATTTTCCATCATGTCTCGGGGTCGCTTCAAACAGGCGGCCCAGTCCGACGCAGCCGAGCCCAGCGGAATTCTAACGGGACTCGCAGGGAACTCCATCGGAAGTCCAGTCTGGGGCATGCCGAAGACTTGAAGCAACCGTTCTCGAAGAACACGCCACCAGCGTTTGCGGATTGCCCCAGCTTCGCATTCCGTGGCGGTCCGGCGAGAGAAAACATGCGCCCGCTGGCTCCACCAGTCGGGTCACACTCCAGACAGGAACTAAAGCCGCCGAAGTGGTTCCACGGGATTTGCCGATGGTTCCCTGCCACAAATCTAAACGCCTCAAATGGGTGTGAATGTTGATGGGGGACCCTTTGGATCATTTAGGTGGCGATGTGTGTCCACTCACCACTTAGGTTTTCAACCCTGTAAAATTCGCCCAAGTGAAACAAGTCGGCAAGACCAGGAGTGGAGCCCTTGCGCTTCGCCTGAAGCCTTCGCAAGCCAAGAGGCTCAAACTGTGGTGGGTTCCCAAAAAGGTAGACACTCTTCTAGGTATCTAAAGACAAAGCCAAAGGATTTGGGGGGCCTCCGGATCCCCATTTTGGGCATTAAAAAACTCGCCATTTGAAGCACGGTCCAGAAACCCTGCTGTTTGATTTACATATATATATATATGTATTATATATATATATATATGTATTATAGATTATATTATATATATAGGGGTTCAGCTTTGAGAACCTCAAGGCTGAAGTCCGGAGCTTGGCGCAGGCCAAGCAGAGACACCTTTGCCGCTCTCCACGCCTCTTCAGTCTGGAGGCTCAGAGGCTCAAAGCGGTCGAGCTCCAGCGGTTTTTCTATCTCCTCAGCTAGAACCTCGAAGTCTAAGTCAGGCTCAGAGGTGCAGCTGCTTCTTGCCGCTCGGCTCCTCTCCCCGCTCGCGCTCGAAGATCTCCCGGGCGTGGCGGTGGCCCAGGGGGATTTGGATGGACTGGATCTCCTGGCGGCTGCGCAACGAAAGGCCACAAGGCCGCCAAAAAATTGGTGGGTGTGGGTCAAGAACAGGTACCTGGAGTCTCCATGACCCTGAAAAAATGAGCGTCATTAGCCAAAATTAAGGGGTCGTGGACCCATTTTTTAAATGTCATGAAGACTCCAGGTACCCCAAAAAGTTGTTGGCGTGGGTCAAGAATCGGTTGCTTTCTGCTCCCCTGCTAAAAGTGACTAACTTTTAGTGGTTTAATGGAAAACCCATTGGCTGGCAAAAAGTTCAAGTCCGAACATCCAAGCAAAATGCAACAAAGAATAACAGGTACCCCAAAATGGGGTTCCTGGCACATGAAATACAAGGACGAGTGCCCTGGTGATCGAATTTTGACCCATACCCAACTGGAGGTTGTCCTTTTTTGCTTCCCCTTATTACACACCAGAAAATTTGTCCGCGATTTGCGAAACTCCCAGGAGCCAAACGAAGTACCGTATGAAGAAGGTTTGTAACTATTGGAAGCCAGGGTGTCCCTTTGAAGGAGATAGTCTTCCAGGAGCCCACTGTGTGAGGTTCCATGTGGATGCCCGGGATATGGCATGTGGATTCTAGGCTTGTGTACTCGCAGCCCGGAAGCTTAACCCTTTGAAGGCCGCTCAAAAAACGGGGGACTTGAACAAGCAAAAGGTCGAAAGGTCGATTCGCCTGGGGAGAGTTCTTGTTCTCCGCTTGCAGTTCCGGGGGGATATCATTGAATTATGTTTAGCCCCCAAACCGCTGTTTCGGAAAAGATCAGCCAGTCGCTGTCGAAGATATGGCCCACAAATCGTGACCTCTGGTTGCCGCTGGCTGGTCGAAGCTGGTGCCTGGCTCGAGGTTACCTCCTGAGGCAACTTTAATTTTCGTTCTGCCTCCACATCGTAAGTCAAGCATGTGGGTGGTGCTCAAAATAAGCGGACCGCCCCCCCCCCCCCCCCCCCCCGAGTTTTTGGTTGATTTGTGGTTTCTCTTCAAAAGTGGGTGAACCATGTCCCCTGAACGTCCCGTCGGCCTGGCTAAGCTGCTTGATGGCCTTTCGAG